TGTCTCCCGGGTTCTGGGATTGATACAAGGACATGTAATTAGCGCCATTCTGTCCTTGAGTCTCTAGGACAGACCGTGAACAGCTTGCTCATCCCTGTGGGTGCCTTGGGTCTTCTCCTTCCCCGGGTCTTAAAATTCCGCAGTGATGTCCTTGGTGTGGCTCATTTTCAGACTTCGGGCAGGGTGGGCCCTTTTAACCTAGAAAAAATTGTCCTTCGGTTCTAGGAAACCCTCCTCTGTTATTTCTTAAATAATTTCCTCCTCACAGCTTCCTGTTTTCACTCCCGTGATTTGCTGGTACCTAGATCAATTCTCTAATTTTCTTATTTTTTTTCCTCTCTCCAGTTTCTTAGTCGTTTTACTCTACTTTCTGGCAGATTTCTTCAGCATTATCTTTCAACTTTCTCACTGGGTTTTCCATCCCCTCAGATTTTTTTGGTCCCTCCAATATTTCTTTCACATGAGAGCCGCTTGTCGGACAGATGCAGCATCTTCTTCTGTCTTTCAGAGGCTGTTCTTGTTCTCTTCTTCTGTCTGAGTGGCCTCTGCTTCGGTGAGGTGCTCTTTTACTGACGCTCTGCTCTCCATCATGGGGGGATGGAGGATACCTTTTCCCCCAAGAGTCCTGCCCGGTAGTAGCTGGTGTTCAGCATGTAAGAATGAGCTGCAGCTCCAGTCTGAGCTCAGCCTGGGGTGGATGGCACTAAACCTCTGAGGCACGGCGTTGGTGCAACCTACCACCTTTGACCACTCCTGATGCCCTAGGCCTTCTCCACGGCCATATCAGGCTGTAAGGGAGCCTGCAAATTATATTCTCACCAGTTTGTCACGCAAAGGTACCTGAATATCCAAGAAATAAGGGCTAAATCTAGTCTTGCCTGAGCCATTTTCAGACAAAATATCACCCTAGCGTGTGGCAGGTGGACTGGTCCAGCATGGATAGGCATTCCCAAGTGCCCAACAAGTGGGATTTCTTTCATCACACTAAGTGCCTCTTTGAAAGACTTTGGTGAGTTAAAAGGCACATGCGTGTGTCTTCAGGACAAAGAAGGGAGCCCCGAAACTGGTGTTTTTAGATCTCTGGAGCTGTCTGAATTGTGTTGGAGGCATTAGTCAACAGCCAGGTGGCCTCCACACCCAGATGAGAGACAGCCCACCTTCAGGTTTTCCGCGAGAGCTGACAGCAGGAATTTTCTCACAACGTCCCAGCCTTAGCGGTGTAGTGCAATCCACTCCAGGCTGAGCTCAGACACCTCAGCATTTGCTGGTAACGTCTGTGCAAACCCGAGTCCTCTGCCTTCAGGTGCCCTTGAGGCCGTTCGTCTGCACATTTCTGAGTCTTGTTAAGAGCTGAGCTCAGGAAACTATCACTATCTGATATGTGCCAGGAATTACTTGAATCTTATGGGGAAAAAATGACATTCTAATGGCCATATTCCCAAGCACGCTTTGGCTAATGTCACTACGGATACTCTTTCAAAAGCCCCGCCCTGTGGGGGGGACTTTTCCTCAGAGCATCCTACCTTACACTTAAACTAAATAGGTCACATTCAAAAGCAGGGGTGCTGTTTCCCTGGGGATATTGTAAACTCAAGTTTCCCCCTGTATTTTGAGACCCAAGAGTAAAGGAACTCTAAACTTCCAAGGTCATATTATTGGCTTCTGTCAGAAACACATTGCGCTATGAAGTGAGTTTCTTGAAAAAGTATGGGGCCACTTGGCTGGCAGTTCTCTGTTTTCTGAAGAAGCTGGTAACCTACTTTGGCTCAGCTTTTGGAAGAGAGTGTGCGTGCCAGGTAAGAACAAGATATCATTATGAAGAGAAGTATGACCTCATCGCTCAGAGATTCGAAGGAGACTACACCTGGAGGACTCTGATCTGGTTCAGGGAGCTTAGTTACAGAACGATTAGGTGAGGACTGAAGAGATGCCAGGAGAACAGAAAACAATACAGAGATTCAGGAAATTAAACCTGCCAGAACATGAAAAGACATCTCAAGAAAACAGCTATCGGACTTCCCTGGTGTCACAGTGGTTAAGAATCCTCCTGCCAACGCGAGGGACACGAGTTCGAGCCCTGGTCCGGGAAGATCCCACAGGCCGTGGAGCAACTAAGCTCATAAGCCACAACTGCTGAGCCCGTGCGCCACAAGTACTGAAGCCCGCGTGCCTAGAGCCCGTGCTCTGCAACAAGAGAAGCCACCGCAATGAGAAGCCCGCGCACCTCAATGAAGAGTAATCCCCGCTCGCCGCAACTAGAGAAAGCCTGCACGCAGCAGTGAAGACCCAATGCAGCCAAAAAGAAGAAAGCAACTGTCCCCATAAGGATAATTTACCATTATTTAGCAAGAGTTTAACAGGTATAAGACTCCACACTTTAGAGAATGCGGGGCGAATAAGAGCACTTCTGATATAGAAAATAAGTGGCCAGAGCAGTGGTCATTTGCAAACAACTCAAACTTTCTTAGTCATTCTGCACACAGAGGAGCAGCGCGTTCTTCATCAGAAATATTGATTCATCTCCTGAGCTCCTGTTATACAAACACGGTGCCTTCAAGCTAGATAAATAGATGTTCAACAAACAAGCAAGACTTCTATCGTCCACCAACAGAAGATTTTAATTGAATAACAAAGCAAAGCCTAATACAAAGTGACATTGTGAAGTCAGTCCCCTAGAAGGGGTGCTGGGGAAATGCAGAAGTCTAAGTGGGGCAGAAAGAAGGTTACAAAGAGAAACTGGTTCTCTGAGCAAAAGCCCTTCTTTCTGGGATTCAGAAACAATCGTACACAGGCAGTCATGGGATTTAAAATGGCAAACAGTGACCATGGGAAATACCTTAACAAGACAATGAAGGAAATAGCCCCGGCAATGAAGTCGTGCTGTGTCCCACCTACCGGGCTTGATGGCTCTGTTCCTGCCTCTCACTGCTTAGACACATCACCACGCACATAGTGGCCTGAAACAACACGGATTTATTACCTCGCATTTCTGTAGGTTAGCAGTCCAACCTGGGTCTCACCGGACTAAAATCAAGGCGTCAACGGGTCTGTGTTCCTCTCTGGAGGTCTAAAGGGGCGTCCACGTCCATGCCTTTTCCAGCATCTAGGAAGCATCCACACGCCCCGGCTCGCGGCCCCGTCTTCCTCTTCAAAGACGGCGATGGCGGGTTGAGACCTTCTCACATGGTCAGACCTTCTCTGACCTACTCGTTCCTTCCCTCCTCCGCTTTTAAGGAGCCCTGCGATCACACTGGGCCCGCTCAGATGACCCAGGATCACCTGCCTGTTTTATGGTCAGTTGGTTAGCCCCTTTAAGTCCTTTTTGTCATGTGTTATCAGGTGAATTGTGTCTCCCCCCCCAAAGAAAATGGTACACTGAAGTTCTAATCCCCAGGACCTCAGAATGTGACCTTACTTGGAAACAGGGTCTGGGCAGATGTAACGAGTTGAGATGAAGTTGTAGCAGAGTAGACTGGGATCCTGATCCCATATGACTGGCATACTTATAAGAAGATGTCCGTGTGAACACACAGACACCGGGGAGAGCACCAGGTGGAGATGCAGGCAGGGACTGGAGCGATGAGGACAGGCCAGTGGTGCTTGGGGACCTGGCACCAATGCGGATGCTCAGCTGCTGCTCTGGCTGTGACATGTGAACCAATCCCATGTTTCTGACCCGGCATCTCACTTCTGCCAGAATCTGTGAATCTGAGGGCTAACAGGTTAGCTTGCAAGTAAGACAAATCTCAGATCCCTCGGTTATTGACAAAGGAAGATGCAGGTAGAAAGGCTGGAGAGCGGGAGAGCCCCAGTGGAGTGTTGCCACCAACTGAACGATTCAACATTCGGGTCAAACGTCCCAGCCCTTTAGCTCACCTGCTTTAGGCATCACTTGTCTATCCCAGTGCTTCTCCAAGTGAGGCCCCTGGGCCTGCAGCATCAGTATCACTTGGGATCCCGTTAGCCATGCAGATTCCTGGGCCACATCCCAGATTCTCTGACGAGCCTCCAGGGGACGCAGATGTGCCCCCCTGGGAAACACTGGCCCGCCCTGTGGTCAGCACTGTGGCTGCAAGAGCCTGGCATGGGCACAGGGAGAGCTTTTGGGGCCACTGAGGCCTGGGTGGGAGTGAGGCCAGGAGACAGACTTCCCCTGTCGGTTCTCTGAGGCTCCCCTGCCTCTGCTTCTGTGGACGGGTTGGAGTTTCTGCACTTTCCGTAAACTTTGCCCTCTCGGCCCTCACCCCTAAAGGAGATCAGGACTTTCTCTAAAAGTACACGCTGAAACACGCGGTGAAATTTGGCCACCCATTCTCAAAGACGCAACCTGGACCCACCCGCTTGACTGCTTCCCCCCCCCCCCGCCCCGGCTCTCCCTCGCCCCGGAAAGAAGGGTCATAAAAAGAGGGATGGGGGCTGGGAAGGGGATTTCTGGGTCTCTAGGAGGGAAGCTTTGCCCACAGTGAGAAGTAACTTGAGGGGGACCCTGCAGACGTGCCTGGCGGGGTCCTTGCACGTGGAGGGGGCCTCACCTGGCTGGGAGGGGGCCTCAGTTCTCTCCGATGGAGGCAGGGAGGCTGCAAGAGAAGAAAGGACATGAACGAAGTCTTAGGAAAGAGAGGGAGGCATTCCGTGTGCATCCATGTGACCTCCAGGCCAGAGCAGAACACAAAGGCTGCAGGAATCCTCCAAAGGCTTTCAGGGGACCAGGGACACAAAACAGATTCCACGGTGCACAGGGGAAGTGCCCGTGTGGATCTCCAAGTGACTCACAAAGTGTTTATTTTTCTTCCCTCAGATGATAATTACCTTGAAAAGCCTCGTCGGTCCTGGAGCTTCTGAACAGAGTAAATTAGGAGGAACAATATTCTCACCACAAAGAAACAGTGTAGAGGGAAGAAAACCAGCCCTGACAGGGATCTTAGGGGAGCTTTTTCCTAACCACGATTTTGTCCTCTCCCACTGCCAGATAAATCACAGCATCAAAAAGATCCCATTCAGTGCTCGCTTCGGCAGCACGTACACTAAAGTTGGAACGATACAGACTAGATTAGCACGGCCCCCGCGCAAGGATGACATGCAAATTCGTGAAGCGCTCCCTATTTTTAGGAGATGTGGGGATATATGTATATGTAGAGCTGATTCACTTTGTTATAAAGCAGAAACTAGCACACCATTGTAAAGCAATTATACTCCAATAAAGACGTTAAAAAAATATTCCATTCACTACACACGAAGAGCTTTATTTACTAGTTAATAAAATGCTCAGAGCGGCTGCAGAAAAAAATTTGATACCAAAGCTTAATTTATCCAGACCCTTTTGTTAAATCATAATAAAGGGTTTACAAGGAACAGATCTTGCTTGGAATGGGCTGGCCACCCTGGGGGGTGAGCGGCCGTCTCTGTGCACATCGTCCTTCAGTCTTTCCGTTGGCACCTCCCGCCCTGGGAATGGATCCTGGGATTTATGGGATCCTGCATTTAATTCATTAATACCTTAGCTTTCTATGAGCGACCACAGATGGCTGAAGATGCCCAGTGGGGCCTGCTCGTGGAGGATGCATGGTACATTTCACTAGTGAATTACCGAGGCACCTAGGGATGCTCCTTGCTGCGAACAAGGGTGAGTTCTCTTGACTAGATTCGAGGCATCCCCTACCCACATGTCCACCCTTAAAACTGTCTACTCTTGTGGGCTGAGATTTTTTTCACTTTGAAAGGGACAATCTAGGCCCATCCAGGCCAATGCATTAGCCACCACCTTAAGGGAACCCACATTGTTGTCCCTGCGTGCAGCCGCCATACGGGGTCACATGGATGCAGCCCAGTCATCTCAGAGTGGGGACCTGGCCCCTGAGCTGGGACAGAGAGGAGCGTGGCCTCCGTCCGTCGGCATCACACATGATGGATCCAGAAATGTGGTCCGTAAGGGCTGCTGGAAGGGGCAGCAGGAGGTTCAAACCAGGAAAGACCAGGCAGGCGGACCCTTGGAGGAGAGAGGCAGCTCTTATCCGTATTTGCAGTTGGGGTGCAGTGTCCGGTGCAAAGCCAGGCTTCAGACCTGCCCGTCAGCGAGAAAGTGGCCCGAGGCCATAAGGAGAAGGGTGTAAATTGGCGTCTGCTGAAACCCTGGGAAAAGGAGTTTAAAATCCAGCAGGAGAACCAGGGGTCCGGACCAGCTGGCCATGGGAGCAGCCCTGGCTTCTGGTCTGTCCTTCCAGCCAGGGGACCAGATCTCGTGCCAGCTCTGCCTCTTGTGCTCTGTGGCCCTGGACGGCCACCTCACCTCACTGGCCTCTGTGTCCCCACCTGGAAAGTCCGCACCCTGGGCTCGCTGGCTGCCTGGGCCCCTCTGGCTCTCATCTCTCTCCCTGGTGGCCGTCCCTCATCCCTGTCAGAACCGTGGTCCAGCAGACACAACCTCACCCCAACTCAAGTATTTCCGGAACACTCTGGCAGGGACTGTGCCTGAGTGGTCCACAGCGCCCGAGATTAAGCCCCCAATCCTGACTGCTCTGTTGCCTCACCTCTCACAGGGCTCCCTCTCTCCTCTGCAGGAAACCTTGGCCCTGGACCACAAGGCCCGGCCGCTCTCCCCTCCCCATGCTGGGCTGGCAGGTGAGGAATTACTCATGGGACTAAAAACGGGAACGAGGGAACGCCCACCCCCCCGACCCTGTCTAGAGTCTCCCGACCTGTCTTTCTCCTCACTCTTTTCTTTCCTGCAGGGCTGATGCTGGGGACGAGAAGGCCCCCGGAACTGACAGACTGTGGACTTACTGGGGCCCCAGGGGCCTCCCCACCTGATGATGTGCCCCAGAGTGTGGGATGCTGGCCTGGAGGGGACCTGAGCCCAGAGACCCACAGGTATGTTCTCTCGCGTGTACATTCAGACACGTATGAACTGAGGAGACCCGCAGGTAAATGCACGTATGTTCGGGGAGGTCTGGAGAGCTCACAGTTCTGTATCTGAGACAAATCACCAAAGAGAAGCCCCGGCTCTGTGTCCCGGACAGCGTCCTGCGTGAACGCCCTGCAGACGCCCCAGCAGTCGTGAACTGGCTGAGTCTCCATGCTTCACGACCTCTAGCGGCAGGAGAACGACCGGCTGGCTCTCCAGGTTCTCTGGTTTCACATCCGCCTCATTTTTACCCGAGTCTCTCTTGTGTCCGCCGGCTCTCCAGTCTCACAGCCCCTGTCCCCGCCCAGGCCTCCTCTACGCCCCCCGACACCTCTTAGTAGCCTCCCGACGACCCTCCAGGCTCCCGATCTCTTCCACCCGCAGAGCACGCCCCGCCCGCGGCTCCCACACCAGAGAGGAAGCCGCAGCTGCTCCCGACCCGACTGGCTGCGGACCTGCTCGGCGCGATGGGGGCTGTCTACCATCCTCATCCCTGGGCGGAGAGGATCCAGGCGCTTCTGCAGAACTGAGGACGTGGCCGAGCGTGGGGTACGGCCCAGAGCCCCCGGAGGGTGGACGGTGTTATGAGCCACAGGCTCTCTGTTACCTTTCTGAAACCAAAAGTTCTCAATTGCAAAGTACTACAGCGCCCTCTGGGCTCCCCCCACCGCCCTGGGTGGTAGTTAAGGGATGGGGCCTGCGGTCGGGACACTGTTGGTTTCCCATCTCATGCTCCTTGGGAAGAAGGTCAAGTCTGCACCTGGAAGAGAATTTCTCTCTCTCCCCCTCCCCCTCCCTCCCCGGCTTCTCTTTCTCTCTCTGGCTGCCCCCCCTTCCCTCTCTTGCCTCCTCTCTCTCCTGACGCCCCTCTCCCCTCATTCTCCTGACGCCCACCGCCCAGTGTGCAGGGGACGGTGTGGGGCCTGCTTGCCACGTGCAGCCCTTCTGTGACCATGAGGAGAGCCAGAGTTTGGTTGACGCGCACACTGAGGCTGGCGGAGCAGAGGAGCAGGAAGCAGAGTCAGGTCCATCCGTGGGGACATCTTTGAGCTGCTGATCTTGACAAACCTGGGCCCGCTCTCCCTCTGAACTTGCCTCCTGTGAAAGGGTAAACTTCCTTATTGTTCAGACCAGTTTAAACCAGTCTCTCTAGTTTTCCTTTTAAAGCACAGATCTCATGGTTGCCGACCCAGCGTAGAACGTCCTCCGTCACCTTCAGGACACCGTGCTGCCTCCTCAGCTCGGCTGGGGGGTGAGGGGAGAGACCCTGCCCACCCCTCCAAACTCACTGTCTTCCTGAAAACGTGCCCTCTCGTCCAACAACACGGAGCCTTTCAAAGTTCCCCAAGCTGTCCACCACGCCTCCATGCTGCCATGTGCTTCCCCTATCGTCAATCCAACACATATTCTGCCTTTAGAATTCATAGCTCTACCTTCTCCGAGCACCTCTTCCTGATTCCCTGGGTGCAGGACAGTGGAGGGATCGAAAGCACAGGCTGCGTTGGGAGAGCGGGGAGGACACTGCCAAGAATGGGGAGGACGTAAGGAGACAGAGGAAAGACAGAAAGAAACTGAATCTGGTCAGAGTGTAGGAGGCCCTAGATCAGGCCTTACCTGAAGGCAATGTACCGCCAGGCTTTAATTCCTGGGAGCTTTTACATTTCCTGTATCGTTTAGGTTAATTGAGTCCGATTTTTGTGTGTTTGTTTTCTTCGCCACCAAAAGAATTCCAAATGCTTTTCCAAAATTCAAGTTCTTATCATGCCTTGTCATTGACTGACAGCTTTCAAGGGCAAGGGCCGAAGAGGATTTGGTTTTCCAGTCCCTGTATTAGAAGACACCCAGGACTAATTTGTTGAAGTTAAATAAGCTTCTCGGTGTTGCAAGTTTTGATTTACATATATATATATTTCAAAAATTCTGCCTATTAACATTGGTGGTTCAAGGAAATGCTGAATTCTAGTCAGGCACAAGGTTGCTTCTTTCTTTTAAGAACAAAACTGAGTGTACGCTCAGCGTGTCATATTTAAGTTGCATTGAGGGCGCAGAATAAAAATATTAAAATTATACTCACTTTATCAAAGTGCCAATATTGGGATGTAAAATACATCATTCCCCAATGATCTGATTTTCTCCAGCAGGATCAAGGGTTACACATCTATTAGGATCACGTGTTTCCTTCTCTCAGCAGGACTAATCCCTCCCTGCCCACGAGCAAAGTCTTTCCAGACTAATTTGCAAACAGGGCTCTGTCCCCTCACCCGTGAGCGCCATGCCCAGTTTTCTGCACTCATGGTGGTGAAACCCTAGCCCAGGGAAAGAGTATGAAACTCTCTGGGAGGCAGGTTGAGACCTGGAGGGCTCTTGCAGGGCCCCAGCCGCTCTCCCCTTCCCTCTTCCTTCCCTGGTCCCGCTGAGTAAGTCACCAGCACAGACATGCCAACCTCGATCCCTGCTTGGAAACCACATGGAGAAAAAGACAGGAGCTGTTCCAAGAGGCTATGATTTTGGCAGCCTTACCAGACAGTTATTTCGCTGGTGACTCAGCATCGCAAGCCTCCCGTAGCCCTCCCAGCGCTGAAGTGCCCCACCTGTGGGGCTGAGGGAAGAGGGCTGGCAGGTTAGGCTGCGGTTAACAGTGGGGACCACCTGACACGATCACTCTCTGGTTACAAGAGGGGAAGCCCAACTCAAGAAAAAGAAAAGAGGAACTTTTGGCTTGTGTGGCTAAAAAGGTGATGGGTTCGGGCATGGCTGGATCCAGATGCTCCAAGCCAACACTGGCAGCTGAGGAACTTGTCAGAAAAAACACTTCTCCTTCTCTGTAGTTTAGGCAAGTGCTCTGGTGCCCCTCATCGGCCTGGCGTGGGTACCTTGCCCTCCCTTGGCTGTGATCCTGGTGGGCAGAGGGTGGTTGGGAGCTCTGTTGGTGGGGCCTGAGTCACTTGGTTGTCCCTGGTCGTCACGGGGGGTGTTCTTTTGGTCTTTCGCTGCAGCCAAGGACCAAAAACCTTGAAGGTGGCTTCAAAGAACAGAAGTGTATGGTCTCACAGTCCGGAGGCTGGAAGTCTGGAATCAAGGTGTTGGCAGGGCCATGCTCCCTGAAACCCATAGGGAGAAACCTCCCTGCCTCTTTCCAGCTTCTGGAGGGTGGTTGCCACCCCCATGGGCGAGACATGGTTTACAGATGCGTCAGTCAGTCCTAC